TATATCATACGCAGAAAGCTTAAACTGTTAAATGAAACAATAAGTCGCAATGTAAAGAAAATGCGATTATTTTAGTGGCAATATCAAAATGGTGTCAATCATGCATACACATGAACTAAAAACTTGTAATTTCTAAATTGGTCCTTGTAAAACTTTCCCTTACTTTAAACAGGTATATATATTTATGTAAACAAGTTTATTGGTAATGTGAAGCAAAAAAAAAAAGAAAAGAAATGCTTATATTGTTTCATCTTTACATTGTTTTTTTATGTATGGATATGTATTAATGTAAAGAAATACCAAAATGTAGTATGTGATGTCTTCAAACCTACACACTATGTATTTGATCAACACATGCAGAAAAATGTATTGTTTCAACACGTGCTTTTGTTTAAATTCATGATCACGTGGTTAAAAATATATAGGTCATTCCATCTTATAAATAGTGATACTGTTGAACATTTAATAACAATGTCTCCTACATCTTTTTAAGAATATAAAGAAACGTAGGATAAATCAAAGCAATCACCAACGTCTTGCTCAAAATAGATTACACTATATTGATTATAAGTCCTGTAAACACTGCGAGGTCAAAATACAGAACGAACGTAACTGGAAATAGAGCACAAAAAATCATGAGTACATAAGTTTAAATAAACTAAAAAATAAACACCCTTTTAACTATATAAATAGAGAGGTCATCAATAATTCAGCCGGGATTCAAAGACACAATTATACAGCAAATTACTTTCAAATTGATGAAAATGAACTGCGAAAAATACCATCTAAAAATAAGATAGAGAAAACATCGCTCCGCACGATTCAAAAAACGTATAGAAAGCAATGAAGCGTGTCAATTACATTCTCAGGTAAAATACGGATCTGTAATAAATACAAGCAAAAGCGTTGAATCCCTTTACAAACACAAAGGTAATAAACCATAAGTTTTAATGGAGTAAAAAAATGTAAAAAAAACAAAAAAGTGATTTAAAAACAGTATTTTATGTAAATAGATTAACAATGAAAAAGTTTATAAATCTGCAGAAGCAGTACAAAATCAAAGTTAAAAAGAAATACTCACCATGCATGAAGTTCAAAATGGTTTTTTTTTCTTAATCCCCAACGAAAAATAATCTTCACATATGCACGATCAACACTAAAAACCTGCAGCAACCTGACAAAAATAAATAAAGTAATAAGTTGGTAAAATCATCAAAAAAGTGATATAATATTCATTCAAGAAACACTTTTCTCAAATAAAGAGTAAAACAACAAAAATACCGAACTTTAAGGAAAATTCAAAACGGAAATTCCCTTAACAGTTGGCAAAATCAAAAGCTCAAACACATCAAACGAATGGAAAACAACTGTCGTATTCCAGACTTGGTACAGGCATTTCCTTATGTAGAAAATGCTGGATTAAAAATGGTTTACATTAAATAAAGAAATTGGTAAAAAATCTTTTCAAAAAGGATGGAACAAGCGATTCGCGTGAAGTAGCAATATGGATAAAAGATGGGATTAGTTTTAAATATATAAAGATGAACATAAAGATTCAGAAGGAAGATTCATTCTAATTAATATAGAAATTAACGAAAACATTCACACCTTAGTAAATATTTATGCCCCAAACAACTTGAGGGAAAGAAACATTTTTTTAACAATAAAATCTTATGTACATAAATATGGTGTAGGACAAACAATACTTGGAGGTGATTTCAACGATATATGATCAATACTAGATATAAAAAATAAGTTATCAATGTGAAGGGGAAGTAACTGACAACGAATGTACAGATGCTATTTTTAAAATGAAGTTTAATAAATCCCCTGGTCTAGATGGTCTGACAGTGGAATTTTATAGGAAGTTTTGGAATTGTTTGAAAATATTATTGTTAAGTTATTAGATAATAGTTATGAAAAAAACGAACTTACTAATTCACAAAAGAAAGATGCAACTTCTCTGGTATATAAAAAGAATGACCCCTCTTTCATTAAGCAATTATCATCCATTCACCCTGCTAAATATTGATAGGCCTAGATCAAACTGGATATGTAAAAAATAGATATATTGGTTTTAACATCAGACAAATACAAGATGTAATTGATTATTCTGAAAAAATTAATACAGAAGGAGAAATTCTTTCTCTAGACACTAGTAAGGCTTTCGAATCTCTAGAATGGAATTTTATGACAGAAACTCTTAAACGGTTTGATTTAAACATGGCTTTATCAGATGGGTTGAAACAAAGTACAATGACATTAAAGGATCTATCTTAAATAATGGGTGGGTATCTAGCCACTTTAGAATTAAAAGAGGTATACGACAAGGATGTACAATTTCCGCTTTATTCTTTGTAATAACAGTTGAAATAATAATCAGATTGAGAATCAATAAAAGAATAAAGGGTATAGCAATTAAACTGGATGGGAAATCTTATGATTTAAGGATATGCCAATTAGCTGATGACACGACATTATTTCTTCATTATCGTCAAGAAATGAGCCTTGCACTTAGCATAATTGAATCATTTGGGAGTTTTTTTCGGGGTTAAAACTTTACAGGAATAAAACTGAAGGAGTATGTGTCTTGGGAGATTAAAAAGTAACAAAGATAAATTTGAAAATAAATTGGACACACGAACCAGTTAAAAGTCTTGGTATTTATTTTGGTTATGATAATAAAGAACGCAAATATTAGACATGGAAAAGGTTTTAGATAAAATAGGAAAACTCGTTGACAGATGGTCAAAAAGAAACTTAACACTGCTTGGAAAAGTTTTAATTGTAAAAGCTCTACTGCTTTCAAAAATAATCTATGTGGCTTTTAACAGCATTAAAATTAAAGACAATATACAAATTCTAAATAATATGATATATAGATTCATTTGGAATTAGTGAAAGGATAAGATAAAGGAGTCAAACTTTACTAAAAACTTCTCTGAGGGAGGGTTAAAAATGATTAATGTGGAGACGTACATAAGAGCTATACATATAAAATGGATTAAAAAATACTACAGCCAGGAAATGCTAACTGGTCGGTATTGTCAAGGCTTTACTTACATGAGTTTGGCAAAATATGCTTATCTTTAAGATGAATATAAACAAAACAAATTTACTTGATTAAAAAATATGGAATAATTCACCAACATTTGACCAAGAATTGATCAAATCATGGTTAATAGTAAATCATTCTAAAAATAATAAAACATGTATTTTTTAGATATCAAAAATCAAATAATCTGGGGAAATATACTGATAAAATTTAAAGGAAAGTGCTTGTTTTTTAATAAATAGATTGAAAGTGATATTTTATAAATAAACGACAAAATTGACAACAGAGCACATATATCAGAAGAAATAATCACCTCAAAATTAAAAAAATTAAAAGTAACCGGATAGCTGAACTGTCTATACTTAAACAACCAATACCAAAACACTGGACTCAGAAGCTTAATAATGAGAAATCATTCAAAACTAATGTCAATATCAACCGAACAAAAATAAAACTTGGAAATAATGATGACTTACTTTCCATAAAAAATAAAGATGTAAATAAGATAGTATGAAGTTTGAAAAAAAAACCAGAAACACCTATTGGATTTTTGAAATGGGAAAGGGTGTTAAAACAGATAGTTTAGAAAATGAATTTAAAAACTCTGTATAATACACGTTCGAGTATTTAAAAGATAATAAAACTAAAACGTTCCGATGGAAATTAATGCATTTTATTTTGCCAAATAAGGAGCTGTTGTTCCAATAAACTGTTGGAAAATAACCTTTGTATACTTTGTAATGAACTAGATAATTACAAATATTTTTTCATAAATTGTTCATATCATAAAACATTTTGGAAATCAATGAAAGGTGTACATAATCAATTCGGCATTGATGAACATGTAATAAGCCTTCGTTCTCTAGTAATATGATATACAATTTGTGATGAAGCTTATTTTGCGCTGAATCACTTACTTAGATTAATGTTCTTGTCGGTTTATAAAGCACACTTTGTATCAAAGAGTAAGGCCAAGCAAATAGACACAGTGAAAATATTCAAAAATGAACTTAAAAATATAGTAGAATTATACAGTATGACAAATATAAAGATAAGCTTAGTTCATAGTTTGAACACAAATTAAATCGTTTGTGTAATTGATAGGCTGCAAAGCTGAAGAATGTGTCATAGAAGAATTTTGAATTATTTTGATTTTCAACATTTCTGTATAGATTTTGACTATTTCTAATTAATTTAGTGTCATAAATTTAGAGAAATCATCACGTGACAAGTTCAAGTTGAGTTAATTATGTGTAATTTAATTATTTGGACATTCTCGTTAGCATGAGTACTATTAGTTGACAGAATTGTAATTATGACTTTTGTGCTAATTAGAATGAATTCATTTACTTATAATTTGTCATAATAAAATGGTATAAATATGTTGTAAATTCAAAAGTAGGATGAGAGTATGATAGTAACATAAGTAGAATTGTACTATTACAGTAGGAGTCATATTGTATCGACATTAACCTTAGATGAGACTTTGGCTTGGAATTAAATTAGAAAATCTTTAAAAAAAAAGTACTGACTACTGAGAATACGATACCCTCGGTCCACCAGCAGCGGTATCAACCAAGTGCTGTAAAAATGAAAACTATAAATTTGATGCGTCCGATGCACTTTTCTGGGTTTACTTTCATCAGTAACGCTCATAGCCGATTATTTGAAAGCCAAGTATGTATAAGAAGCAAAACATCTGAAGAGCTATATGACCAAAAGGGACCTAAAATGATGACCAAATTCATATAAGGTCAACTTTGCCTAAGGGAGTTGAAACCTTAGTTTCTTCGAAAATTTGTTAATGGTTAAACGGACAATTTTAGAAAGGCTTGTTACAGATCATGTATGTACCGAAGTACTGACTACTTAGCTAATGATGCCCTCGGGGACTGATATACAAATTTATAGATAACTGAATAATAATGAAATATCTTTTTTAAAGGAAAACCGAGACCAACTGGATTGCCTAAAGAAGACGAAAGAAAAGGTACATATTTATAATATAAAAATGAGGAAATGTGGTATGATTGCCAATGAGAAAGATATCCACCCAAGTTCAAATGAAGTGGATGAAAGCAACTATAGTACATATTAATAAACTCATCATAAATACCAGGATTGATACTTTGTACGTCAGACGCGCGTTTTGTTTACAAAAAGTTTGAAAAGGTCAATAGGAAAATAGTACGAAGTTGAAGAGCATTAAGAACCCAAAGTTAAAACATACTAAATCTGTTATCGTTCTTATTTAACGGACCTGCCAAATGAGCACATGACATGTCTGTTCTTTTAATGTGATATTTCTTAACGTGATATTTGATCATGAGATACTGTTGACATGCTTAATAACTCGTTGAGAATTTTAAAAAAGATGTGATTTGTGGTTTGTTCTAATGACGCAATACCAATTAACCATTATTTAAAGAACAAAAGGAAATTAAAAACGAGTATGAAACGCTGTTTAATATTCCTATGATCACTATGTTTTAGCAGGAAAACCAAAACCAACTGGATTGCCAAAAGGTAAAGACGAAAGTGAAGGTACTTATTATAACAATCTAATGTGGTTGTAGTTTACGATGAGCGCTGCAATTGTGTGTGATATTTATGTTCTTTTGGATTTCTTTTAAAAACAAATTTTTTACAGTCATTGAATTCATGTGGAGTTATCAAGCCTTTGGACCTATTTAAAGCTAAGGTATTGCTTAGATATTGTATTATATTGGTGACAATATGTTCACCGCTAGAAGTGTGTTTTATGTAAAATGAGTTGATGTATTATTGGCATATTTATATCATTTTCTTGTTTCCTAAGTTACCAGCTGAAACACGACAAACAATAGCAGAAAAGTATGACGGTTCAATAATTTCGAACTAAAGGATCTTTGTCCACAGTTATAACAATCACGGAATGAACTTAAACCGTCCGGATTTAATAACAACTAGCTAGTTTTCACATTTCCCTGTCCTTTATATCTTCATGTTTTAGTGTTACACGTTGTTTGGGTATAACCTTTTTAACTTGGCAGATGTAGCTTTTTCTAATTTTGGATGTTACTCCTATAATGTACAAACCATTACTGATTATGTTATATAGTAAATGTATTTTTTAATCATACGATAGATTCTGTTTTTATATTTCATTGTAATGGAAAACGTTTCTTAGATATAACTTTCATTTTCTATGTTTATGTACAGACAAGGGAAGACCACCACCAAAAGAGAGAAGACTCGGAAAAGATGATGTTGATGATGGAGACAAAAGTAAGATTTAAAAACCATTGATATTTGAAAGCTAATTATTTCTCTAAACAATGTAAATCGAAACTGATAATAAAGATTGCATAATCACACAAGAGAAAGTTTCTTTTCAAATCACAATTTTGATCATTTGAATTTTCTTTCCTGTAGCACGTTTTGCAGAATTTGTCAATCAAAACTACATACAACATCATTTCTTTTCCATTAAATTTGTTTCGTTGATGCAGATAAATATTTCTGATTGCACCGAAACTAAAAATGTGTTTTTGGCCGTCCGTTAGTAGTCTTTGTTAATTGTTGATTATGATGCAGTCTTTTCATGACAATGAATTAGTGCCATCAATTGAGCTAGGAATTTTTGGCAGACTATTTTGGTGCAATAACTTTAGATGTGTCAAAACTTATTGGATTTCTAAATTCAGTTCGACGTTCTTAAGTAAATGAGATAGTTTTACTAATGTTGTTGGAAGACAATAATTCAACTCTTACCTGCGATGTGGAGAGGTGCCATAACTGCTCATTTCCTATACTAGCACTGGTAAAGAGTTTGTAAGTGAAACAAAGAATTCATAACACCTCAATGAATGATGGGATATTTAAGGCAAAACATATACAAATACATTGGTATCTAAATAAAAATTAAATATGTTTTAGCTGGAAAACCAAAACCAACTGGATTGCCAAAAGGAGAAAGCGAAAAAGACGAAAGCGAAGGTACATATTAAAACAAACAAATATGTCTGCAGTTGAAATTGATTGTTGAAAGTTAGTTTCATTCCAAGTGTCTATCCAAAGTTTTGAACGTGGTCAATGGTTTGTTTACCGATGTATGTGTTAATAATGTCATTTTGGGTTTCTAATAAAACAGTTGTTTTACAGTCATTATTTTTATGTCGAGTTATCTAGCCTTTGAACCTATTTAGAGCTTATACATTGTATTATGTTGGTGACCATATGTTCACCTGTAGAAGTGTTTTTACTGTAAATGAGTTGATATTAATGGCGTTGTTTCTTGTTTAATAAATGACCACCTGAAACAAGACAAACAATAACAGAAAATTACGGACCCATTATTTCGAACTGAATTATCTTTGTTCATAGCTGTTACAATCACGTAATGAACTTATACGTCCGACCAAAGAAGACAACAAGCGCGTTTTTACATTTCTCCTTTCTTTATAGTCTTATGTTTTGTGTTACACGTTGTTTGAATTTAACCTTTAAACTTGACAGATGTAGCAATATCTAATTTTGAATGTTATATATTCTATTTAATATTTCATTGTAACGGAAAACGTTTCTTGGATGTAATTTTCATTTTTTTATGTTTATGTACAGAAAAGAAAAGACCCCCACCAAAAGAGAGACGACTCGGAGGAGGCGGAAAAGATAGTGCTGATGATGATGACAAAAGTAAGAATTTGAAGCACTGATATTGGAAAGCTATTCTTTTCTCTAACCTATGTAAATCGAAAATTTTATTAAAGATTGCATAACCAACAAGGGAATATTTCTTTCCTATTTCCAATTTTGATCATTTGAATTTTCTTTTACTGTAGTATAGTGTACAGAGTTTGTCCACCAACACGATATACAACATTATTTCTGTCTCATTAAGATTGTTCCATTGACGAATAATTCTGATTGCAATGAAAATTTAAATGTGTATTCTTGTCAAATATGTTTGGCCGTTCATTATTATTTATGTTAACAGTGTAGATCATTGATACAGTATTCTCATGACTATGAAATTGTCCTACTTCGATGTATTTGTCACAACATACAATATAATATTTGCTACACATTATTTTTAAATATTCATTTACAGAGTCTCAAGGAGCTAAAACTAAATCTTTTCGTTACCGGATCATGATTTTTAATTAAGCAAGGAAATCTAAGCCGACCGTTTGGAAGCAATATCTTAACATAAGTTCAAAGGTGTTAAAAATCAATCAAATTTTAAATTCAGTACAGCAATTTTTTAACAAATGAGGCAGTTTTATTTAACTAATTTAATGGTAATAATTCAAATCCAACCTGCAATGCGGTGAGGTGCCAAAACTGTTCATTTAATATACGGGTATTGGTAAATGATTTGTCAGGAAATTAAAGAATTCATAATTCCTCAATAAATGGTGGTGTATTTTAAGCAAAGGCAATCCATTCGAACAAGTTAACAGTTTTTCACAGTATGACATACTTTTCTATATATAACTACAGGACTTTATGATTTTATTTGTAAAGCAGATCTTTGATAGCTTTTGAAAGTTCTATTCACATTTTCTAGAGACTTCTGACGAATGACAGTTTGAGATATCAGATACACATTCCTTATACACATGTTACCATTGTTGAAGCATTGACGTTGCCTCATATATATCATTTGGCTATTTTTGTCATTTGGTTGAAGTTCCATGGCTATACACCACGACTATTATTCATACTGATAATATAAATTTATATTAAATGATGAAAAATGAATATGCAATTTATTGCTTACTTGCTTGCTTTTCCTATAATATAATGATACAACCTATACAAAAACATTGATATCTAAATAAAAATTTAATCTGTTTTAGCTGGAAAACCAAAACCAACAGGATTACCAGAAGGAGAAGACCAAGAAGACGGAAGTGAAGGTACATATTAAAACAAACAAATGTGTCTGCATTTAAAATTGACCGTTGAAAGTTAGTTACATTCCAAGTATGTCTATTCAAATTATTGAATTTGGTAATTGTTTTTTTATAGTTGCATATTATATTAATGTCCTTTCGGGTTTCTTATAAAACAGATTTTGTAGAGTCGTTGTTTTTATTTTGAGTTATTTTGAGTTATGTAGCCTTTTGACCTAAGTACGTTTTGCTGAGACGTGGTATATTGTGGGTTACCATATATTCATCTCCAGAAATGTTTTTTTATGTAAATGAGTTGATGTATTATTTGCGATTTTTTATCATTTTCTTGTTTCGTAAATTACCACCTGAAACACGACAAACAATAACAGAAAATTATGTCCCAATGATTTTGAACTAAATGATCTTTGTCCACAGTTGTAACAATGAAGGTATGAACTTAAACTTTTCGGACCTAATTGAAGACGAAATAACAACAAGCTAGTTTTCACTATTCCCTGTCCTTTATATTTTTATGTTTTTGTGTTACACGTTGTTTGAGTTTAACCTTTTTAACTTGGCAGATGTAGCTTTTACTAATTTTTGAAAGTTACTCATATTTCTTACAAATTATCACTGTCATGTTATATAATAAATGATTTTTTTTTTCATACGATATATTTTTTTATATTTAATTGTAACGGAAAACGTTTATTAGATGTATTTTTCATTTTTTTTTCATGATCAGGAAAGGGAAGACCACCACCAAAAGAGAGAAGATTCACTAAAGGTGGGAAAGATAGTGCTGATGATGGAGACAAAAGTAAGGTTTTAAAGGATTGATATAGGAAAGCTCAACGTTTCTGTAAACTATGTAAATCGACAATTTTAATAAAGATTGCATAATGACACAAGAAAATGTTTCGTTTCAATTTACAATTTTGATCATTTGAATTTTCTTTTACTGTAGTACGTTGTGCAGAGTTTGTCCATCAACACTACATACAACATAATTTCTGTCTCATTAAGTTTGTTCAATTGACGAATAATTCTGATTGCAGTGAAACTTCAAATGTGCATTCTTGTCAATTATTAATGTCGTGATTTTTTTGGCCGTTCATCATCTTATTTTCAATAGTGTAGATTATTGATGCAGTATTCTCACGACTATAAACTTCGATTGTTTGTCGCAATATTGTCTATAAATTCTTTTTCAATGTTCAACTCCAGTTCACAAGGTGCTAAAAATCCTTTCCGTTACCGGATAATGATTTTCAATTGAGTAAGGAAATGTTTGCCGATTGTTTGGACGTAATATCTTCACGAAACCCCAAAGTTCAGAAATGTCAAAATTATTCGATTTTCATATTCAGTACAAGCGTTCTTATTAATAAGGCAGTTTTAATTAATTTATTGAGTGACAATAATTCAAATTTGGCGAGGTTCCAACACTGTTCATTTCCTCTACCGGAATTTGTAAATTATTTTTCAGTAAAATAAAGAATTCACAACTTATGTTAGAAAAAGTCTATTGAAGGATACTCATCTTTTTTTTACCCTTTGTGAGCTTCGGACATTATTTTACTTTTAATGTAGATTAAGACTACTTCACATGGTGACAGTCTTTACAATTTACGTTATTGAGGTTCCAATTGAGGTAAAAAAAAGTAATATATACCCATCTGATTCCAGCATATATACTGACATCTCTGTGTAGTTATCCAATCACAAAACTCGACACATTTGTAAGCCGTATCATAATGATATAAACTATTCAAACATTTATTATTAACTGAATACATACAAATATATCTTGCAAATGGTAAATCCGTTGTAGTATCCGTTGTTGTGATCGGTCTGTTCTTTTAATGTTGTAATTTGTTGAGTGCATGTAGAACATGACATAATGGTTGCAGTCTTCATTACTGGTTTCGAATTGAAAAAATGATTGATTTTTGGTATGCTAAATGACGCAACATCATTTAACCATTAATTATTAAAGTAAAAAACGAGTATGATACGCTGTTCGACATTCCTGTAATCTATGTTAGAGAATTATTCTCATCCCACATCGCTTAGATGTTTTACATCATAATCACCGTAAAACAGAAAAAAGTATAATGTATATCAGCAGGTTTAGTACTCTGGTTTGCGTTCAAAAAGTTGTAAACATTCCTTGATACATCTTGTTTCATTTATATCAGTGTTGTGTCTTTTTAATATACCGATATCGTAGAGGTAAAAAGATAACCTTTAAAATCATTATACATCGTATGGGTTGGGAATATTTAACACCTGGTCATAACCGTTAGGCCGTTAAGTTTGAAAGGCTACAAACATAAAAGTATAAACTAGCTTCAAAACAAATCAGCACTTCAAATCAACTTATCTAGTAAATACGTATTTTGTCATGTGATAAATCCTGTTTTCTTGTAATTTTTCTTGTAATATAATACGTTTATTAGATGTATTTTCATCTTTTCGTATTTTTATGTAAAGGAGAAGAAAGACCTCCACAAAAAGAGGGACGAGAAGATAGTGTTGATAATGCTGACAAAAGTAAAATTTTGAAGCATTGATATTGAAAAGCTAATCTTTTCCCCTGTAAACTATTTGAGGCGAACATTTTTATAATGGTTGCATAATCATACAAGGGAATGGGTTTTTTTCTATTGACATTTTTGATCATTTTAATTTCCTTTTCCTGTAGTACGGTTTGCATAATTTGTCAATCAAACCTAAATATAACATCATTTTTCTCATTAAGTTTGTTTCATTGTTGCATAATTCTGATTGCAGTGAAACTTAAAATGTGTTTTCTTGTCAAATATTAATGTCATAAAAATTTTTGCCGACCATTATTAGTTTTTTTTTTAATATTGCTGATTATTGATACATAATTCGCATGGATATGAAGTAGTCTTTCTTCGATTATTTGTTGTAAACAAGTTTTCAATATTCAATTCCAGTTCACAGGATGTTGAAATTAATCCCTTACGTTACTGGATCATGTTTTTTAATTGAGCAAGGAAATTTAAGCCGACCGTATGGACGTAATATCTTAGCAACATCCCACAAATTCAGATGCTTGCTAAAATTTCGGTTTCAAAATTTAGAACAAAGCAAATGAAGCAATTTTACTTAATTTTTTTATTTACATTAATTCAAATCTAACCTACATTGCGGTAAGGTGTCAACAACACTTTTTTCGTATACTGGTATTTGTATTTGTATAATGTTTGCAGTAAAATAAAGAATACATAACTCCCCAATAAAATGAATGGTGGTAGATTTTAAGTTTCAAACAAGTTACCATGTATTCACAACAGTAAAAGAGTTTTATAGGTAGACATATCATATACACATCTAACCATTGTTGAAAACTTGACGTTGCATTGTAGATATCATTTGTTCGATATTCTAATATTTTCCCCCAGATATAGACCAATTTAGCTGGAATTGCCAAAACCTTTCAAAATTTTCGGTCCTCAATGATCTTGAATTTCGTACTATATTTCCCCTTTTAGCTTGTTTTATACGAGCATCAGTGAAGACATAAGTAGACGAAGTGAGCGTTTGGAAAACATAATTAAAATCCTGGCTTAATTGATAATTTTTTGGGCGCTATTTTTGTTGTTTGGTTACTGTTCCTTGACGCATTTACCACATCTGTTGATTTGAAAATATGAAATTCAAATTACATAATTGGAACATTTTTTGGCATAGCCTACTTATGGGTTTCTTCTGTTATATAATGATATACACTACACAAATATATTGATATTTAAATTAAAATTAAATCTGTTTTAGAAGGAAAACCAAGACCAACTGGATTGCCAAAAGGCGACGACGAAAGTGAAGGTAATTTTGGTTAAGGTATTAATGTAGTCATGCTATGAAATTCCCATTTGACGACATGTAGTCTGTTCTGTTAAAGTGATAATTTGTAAAATGATATTTGGTATTGAAATATTTTTTGCATGTTATATTACTCGTTGAGAATTTTTTTAAAAGATGTGATTTGTGGTAGGCTCTAATAATGCAATTTCAATCATCCCTTATCAACCATTCATTGTAGTACAAAAGGCAACTAAAAAAAGAGAATGATACGCTGTTAAACATTAAGATATGCGAAAAAAGTTGTTCTCATCCTAATGTAACGTATAGCAGAAGGTTTAGTAATTGTTGTTTCCTTTTAGAAATTGTAAGCATTCCTTGATACGTCTTATTGTTCTAATATTTTTATTATACCGATATCATTAGTTTAAAAATTAAACATATGCAATCATTAGTGTACGTGAAACATGTGATTCAGAAAGTATTATAGCTTGATCAGGAACACCAAAAATTTAAAAGGCGACAAAATAAATTTTGGAAGAGCTTAAAAACGAAATGAGTCTCAGAACAGCAAAAATCATTTTAGTATATTTCTTATTACTGATATTAATTGTATGTTATTTAATAGATTTTTTTTGTTATTCAATTGTTTGAATACAAAAGAAAATAGAAAGCTGAAAACTAGCTAAAATCCAGTGTTCATCAAAAGTCGTGAGCGTGGTCAATGGTTGTCTGCAGTTGAACGTAATATTTATGTCATTCGGATTCCTCATTGAATACAGATTTTCTAAGTCGCTGACAAGTGTTCAATTAAATTATTAGTTATCTTTGGACCTATTGAAGACTGTATGTATTATTTAGCCATTGTAAATTGTTGGTGACTATATGTCACTTCTAGAGGTCTTTTCTATGTCAATCTGTTTATATATAATAAGCGTATCTGTAAAATCTTTTTTTTTTTCTAATAAATTACCACCTGAGAACACATGACAAACAACAGCAGAATATTACGACCTGTAACTCCTATAAAGCATCACTTATTATGTGATCTGGTGAATATTTCCTTTATGAAATTATATACGATTTTCTGTTATTCCTTATTGCAAAGGAATACTCATATTGTATGTATTTTTTATTTTGATTTTTTTTATGTACAGGAAAGGAAAGACCCCAACCAAAAGAGAGACGATTTGGAGGAGGTGGAAAAGATAGTGCTAAAAAAGATGACAAAAGTAAGATTTTAAAATACTACTCATATCTCTGATGTATGCAAACCGAAAATTTTAATAAAGATTGCATAACAACACCAGGGAATGTTTCTTTTCAATTTACAAGTGATAAACCATTCATTCGTATAACCTTATCATGATTTTTAATTGCGACGATTTAAGCTGACAGTTTTGATGCAATATTTTAACAAAATTCCCAAAGCTAAGAGGTGTTAAAATCTTTTCTTGTAGCGGAACTAATTAAATGAGGCAATTTTTTACTTGACTTTTGGAGTGACAATAACATTTAAATCTAAATCTAACTTGCAATGCGACGAGGTGCCAAAAATGTTCATTTACTGAATTGGTTTAGGGGAAAGATTTTAAATTAAACAGTAAAATAATGACTCCTAAATAAAATGATGGTAGAAATTAAGTAAAATCAATTCTTTCATACAAGTTTTTCAGATACTAGGCAACAACGCAAATAAATGATAAAAATGTTATTAAAGAGAACAACTCCAATAAGGGATCGTCAAACGATTTCAACTATTCGATTTATTAGTAGATCTTGTCTTGCAGATCATTTTTTGCTTATGTAAGTTTCTATCTATCTATTATACTTTTTCAGATATTAGGCAAAAACGCAAACAATTAGTAAAAGTCGTCATTAAAGGGCAATAACTCCAATAAGGGGTCATCAGAAGATTTCAACCTTTTGACTTATTTGTAGAACTTATCTTGATAACCATTTTTGTTTCATAAAATTTCTCTCTTTCTATTATTTTCAAGATAATAGGCAAAAATTTAAAAGTCGGTAAATTTGTCATTTAAGGGCAATAACTCCTATAAATGGACAATAGGTAGATCTCATCATTCAAAACATTTCTGTCCTTGTCAGATTGTCTCTATTAATAGTTGTTTTCAGGTTAATAGACAAAACTTGCATTTCACCCCTATTTTCTATTTCTAGCCATGTTGGCCATCTTGGTTGGCAGGCGGGGGTCATCGAACACATTTTTAAAACTAGATACCCTAATTATGATTGTGGTTAAGTTTGGTTAAATTTGGATCAGTAGTTTCAGATGTAAAAGTTGACGACGACGGACGACGGACGATGAACGACGAACGACAAGTGATGAAAAAAGCTCATGTTGTCCTTTGGGAAAGGTGATCTAAAAATGAAAATTGCTTTTTTAAACAGGCAAACCAAGACCAACTGGATTGCTAAAAGAAGGAGACGATAAAAACAAGCTAGAAAAAGATGGTGAAGGTAATTAAAACATACCAGTATAAGTTGATTTATTATTCCTAAACGGTACTTCAATTGACGGTAAGAATTGTCTGTTCCGTTAAAAGAGAAGCGGAAGATACCAAAGTAATATTCACACTCATAATTAATGACAAACCGACAACGCCATGGAACAAAAACGAAAAACGAAAACGAAAAACGACCAAAAGACAAACAACAGTATACAAAAAATATGACCGAGCAACACGAACCCCACCGAAAAACCGAAGGTGTTCTCAGGAGCACAAATGTGATAAATCGTAAACTTTTAAGTTATAATTTATTCTGAGTGGATTTGAATTAATTAAATATACTGTATTTTATTATCAGATACAAATTTAATTTAATTACACGAGGGACTGAAAATCATCATTGTTTATTTGTATGAACGGTCTAACTTGTAAATGAATAAATAAAATAATTAATTAATTAGATATAACTCACTAATGCATTCCATTACTTTGGAAGCATTCAAACTGTAATTGAAATTTATTATATTATAATTGAAGATGGCGATAAAGGGCTATATGTAAGAACAATAGATGATTTGGTTGCTATAATTGACAAAAATCTATGAATATATTAACAGGTACGTTTTAAATAGAAAAAGGAAAAGATATTTCAAGGTGGTAATAAAAAAGAACCAACATCATTATGGCCAAAAGAAAAATTAACAGACAATTTTAAAAAAGACCACAACACAATACAAATTACCCTAATACGGAAGCCGATTAGGGCCATTCAAAATTTTTTTTTATGTCGGAATTACGACATAACATGTCGTTATAACGACATCACTATGTCGTAATTTCGACATAACATGTAGTTATAACGACATCGCTATGTCGTAATTTCGACATAACATGTCGTTATAACGACATCGCTATGTCGTAATTTCGACATAACATGTCATTATAACGACATCACCATGTCGTAATTTCGACATAACAAGTTGTAATTACGACATCACTATGTCGTAATTACGACATAGCTATGTCGTAATAACGACATCGTTATATATATAAAAGAATATGTTTTATGATTGCCAAGAGACTAAATGACACAGAAATTAACAACTATAAGTCATCATAATGCCCTCAATAATGAGAAAAGCCCCCGCATAGTCAGCTATAAAAGAGGGACGAAAGATACCAGAGGGAGAGTCCCCGAAATGACAGCTGTTTAACAATTTAATTCAAACGAGTGAAAATAACGGTTTTAATAATGTACAACCAAAGACCGAAACACGAATATGTAACACAGCAACAAATGACAACCACTGAATTACAGACTCCTGACCGCTATCTGATAATAACGACAACCTTATAGTCCAACTTTTCACTTTTTGAAGCGGTAGGAATTTCAAAATGGTCGCCAGTAAAGGCAAAGTTTGTAGCGTAAACAAATTCATCTTTTTTTTTTGAGAATAGTGAACACTTTATGCAATCAAGCTTAATTAAAGTTATTCACTAGCACCTCAGACTTGCACATACTAGAACTTTATTTATAATCAAGTCAAATGAGACCCAGTTGAATAGGGGAGCAATTCAAGCTCCCTGGAGCCTCTAATTATGTTTGGCATTGCAGGTTCTGAATAAGATGAATTTTAAGCTTTTCCCAATAAAGACTATGTTAAACTTTGGACTCATAGTGCCCAGACCCACGGATCTCTGTACCTTCATTTGTACACACTTGAATCTTAATGTACTACTGAGGCTTGATGCAAATTATAACTGCATTGCTATTGTTGGTTCTTAATGAGATTCTTCAAGCGTCCTCCCCATTGAAGCCCTATTAAAACTTTGTACCCCAAGTTCTTTTAACCACTGTTTTCCAGGACAACTATTCCTACAAACTTAGAGGGAGGGTTGGGATCCCGCTAACATGTTTAACCCCGCCACATTCTTAATGTATGTGTCTGTCCCAAGTCTTTAATTTACATATATGTTTTTCGTTTATTTTTGTACATAAAATAGGCCGCTAGTTTTTCTCGTCTGAATTGTATTACATTTGTCATTTTGGGGCCTTTTATAGCTGACTATGCGGTATGGGCTGTGATCATTGTTGAAGGCCGCACGGTGACCTATAATTGTTAATTTCTGTGTCATTTGGTTTCTTGTGGAGAGTTGCGTTTTTGAACAAACCAGCGTATCCCAAAGCCTTCATAACCTCTGTATGCCCCAAATAAGACGAAAAAACATCAAAATTGGAGAGAAAACTGAAAATAAATGGTTTCTAACTCAGGGATATTAACCCTTGGCATGCTGAATTGTTATCAGAAATTGTCTAAATTTCGAGTATTTGTAAAAATATGCAAACGATATGCAAATGAGCTGTACCCTGATGCTGATGCATACTGATTGCATTAAATCTAAGATAGCAAAGGGTTAATATCCCTGAGGTTAGAAACCATTTTTTCCAGTTTTCTCTCCAATTTTGATGTTTTTTCGTCAAATTTGGGACCTACAGAGGTTATCAAGGCCTTGGGATACGCTGGTTTGTTCAAAAACGCAACTCTCAACAAGAAACCAAATGACACAAAAATTTAAAATTAAAGTCACCGTACGGCCTTCAACAATGATCACAGCCCATACCGCATAGTCAGCTATAAAAGGCCCCGAAATGACAAATGTAATACAATTCAAACGAGAAAAACTAGCGGCCTATTTTATGTACAAAAATAAACGAAAAACAAATATGTAAATTAAAGACTTGGGACATACACATACATAAAGAATGTGGCGGGGTTAAACATGTTAGCAGGATCCTAACCCTCCCCTTAAGTTTGTAGGAATAGTTGTCCTGGGGAACAGTGGTTAAAAGAACTTGGGGTACAAAGCTTTAATAGGGCTTCAATGGGGAGGACGCTTGAAGAATCTCATTAAGAACCAACATTAGCAATGCAGTAACAATTTGCATCAAGTCTCAGTAGTTACTGTACATTAAGATTCAAGTGTGTACAAATGAAGGTACATAGATCCGTGGGTCTGAGCACTATGAGTCCAAAGTTTAACATAGTCTTTATTGGGAAAAGCTTAAAATTCATCTTATTCAGAACCTGCAATCGAAATGCAGGACTTCATAATTTACACAAATCTGTACATGCCAAACATAATTAGAGGCTCCAAGGAGCTTGAATTGCTCCCCTATTCAACTGGGTCTCATTTGACTTGATTATAAATAAAGTTCTAGTATGTGCAAGTCTGAGGTGCAAGTGAATAACTTTAATTAAGCTTGATTGCATATAGTGTTCATTATTCTAAAAAAAAAAGATGAATTTGTTTCCGCTACAAACTTTGCCTTTACTAACAACCATTTTGAAATGCCTATCGCATCAAAAAGTGAAAAGTTAAACTATAAGGTTGCCGTTATTATCAAATAGCGGTCAGGAGTCTGTAATTCAGTGGTTGTCATTTGTTGCTGTGTTACATATTCGTTTTTCGGTCTTTGTTTGTACATTATTAAAACCGTTATTTTCACCCGTTTGGATTACATTATTAAACAGCTGTCATGTCGGGGACTCTCCCTCTGGTATCTTTCGTCCCTCTTTTATAGCTGACTATGCGGGGGCTTTTCTCATTATTGAGGGCATTATGATGACCTATAGTTGTTAATTTCTGTGTCATTAAGTCTCTTGGCAATCATAATACATATTCTTATATATATATAGCGATGTCGTTATTACGACATAGTGATGTCGTAATAACGACATGTTATGTCGAAATTACGACATAGCGATGTCGTTATAACGACATGTTATGTCGAAATTACGACATAGCGATGTCGTAATTACGACATAATTATTTGTTTTTGAATGGCCCTAACGAATAACGATTGAGCAACAAAAATCCCTCAAAAACTTAAAGTTGACTAGCATGCTCTGGAAGAATAAACAGCTGCTGCTTCACCTCTTTGCACCCACCATGTTCTTCTCAAACTGTATATAATCATGTGATTAGTGTTAAGTCTTTCAAATGTCAGAGGAACAATGAGGAGAATGTGACTCTTAGAAGTCCCGTTATGGTGCAAAAAACTCATACATGTGACTGAAAATATTTTACTAGAATAAACCCTTGGTTCTGTAGTCCTTTAAACCAGCAATACTCTATTGAGGAAAATCTGGAATATTATATCAGCTGTGAAATATATTTAGGTGTTGCTAGAATGTTGATGCATCAAATTTGAAAATAATTTACCATTTCTTGTGGTATTACTTTCCTCAACCAATCTGTTCTGTTATGTCCATTTTAATGGTGTAGGATTTTCTGCTTGTCATTTACTCTCTTTTGTTTCAAGGTCTAGTTTTAGTATGAAGCAGGCTAAGATATATATTTTGAGTTCTTAACTTCAAACAGTGCAATTATCATTCGGACGACCTTTTGAATTCTTCAGTAAAAACATCTTTTTTTTACTGGAATGTGATGTGAAAGTATAGTGCTGGAAGCAACTTCATTTCATTCTTATTGAAAACACTCTTGTATTAAATCATCTCATATTAAGGACCAAACCAAAGTGAATAGGTGCACAGTTGAATGTCGACTATCTGCTAAAATATCCTTTTGTTAATTTTAAAAAAAGTGAATATTTTTTTTCTCAATAAAATGAAAACATGTTTTTTAAATTACGTATGTACCAAAAAGCAGAAATCTTTAGTTTGAATGTTATTTGAATATTTTAATGACAAAGTAATTTGGATATCTAGGAGAGTTCAAGCAGGTCTTGTTTTTCAATCTTTAGCTGAAGTTTAAAAGAAGTATGAAACAGACTATCTATTGTTCAAACTTACATTGTTTTAGTTCAATTACCATTATCGAAAATGAATATATCAAAATTCGGGCATTGTTAGATTGCAGGAATTTGTGAAACGCTTTTAAGTTATCTAATTGCGAAATCATTTGCTTCTACACCAAAACGAAACTTCAGTGGGACAACTGTAAGAACAATTGCAAAATAACAGTTTGAGTTTAATTGTGTTTGTGACTTTTCAGACAATTATAGATGTCTAATGAAGCAAATACAAAAATATAAGATAAAAAGGAGCCTGTAAATTAGAATTTTAAGTCTTCACTAATCAAACAAAAAATACTTGATTGAATAACATGTGAAATAACTTGATTAAACGGTAGTTAATCTATGAATGGTATAGCAGTCAAAAGCAAAATGCATTATTATGTGAAGAATTAAATAAATGATAAATAGATAAATGTTATGTTACGTACGCATATTTTAAGTATATTTATATGCAGTGGCGTTACGATGTTGTTGCAAAATAACATCACCAGAATCTATTCAAATTTAAACAGACTTCAACTAACAACCACTATACCCAAACACTAAGACAGACAAAAAGCATGAAAAAAACAAACAACAAAAAACTAATTAAATGAAAGGTGATAACCATATTTTCTGTTGTAGATGGACCTGTACAAAATGAATAACCGAAATGATTATGGACTTTGAGAACAATACATCTATCAGCGAACTTCTGTTTAACTCTTATAAATCTATCCATTCTTAAACTTTTGTAATGAATAAAGAACTGCATCGATTTTTCTTTCTTCTGACAAATGATGGCATACATAGTTAAAATCAAACCAACAAACAAAAAAACGTAAAATGCTAAGGTTGATACAATATAAAGACTTCTATATGAAATGGTGTTTCTTCAAACGCTTTTGAGATGAAGTCTGTAGTCTTCGGATCAAGATGTTTCTCTTTCTCGTCTTCAGAACCTTTCATTCAAATTTAAGTTAAAAAGAATACTATAATCGGTAGAAATCTCTCTGAGTGTGATCATCTTACCCAACATGTCATCTGACACGAATGTTTTGACGTGCTTTAAGTATGTAATCGGTAGTTGAAGGTCTGTTTGAATACCAACATGTTGATTTTTTTACAAACAGAGCATTCCAAAATATAAACATTATTCTGGCTTTTGAAGAATAAAACTACCCAGTGGATTTACTGTTGAAAGTAAGTGTCTTTTGCTCTTGACATCTCGTACAATTACCATACTACCAGTTTTCAAACTTTTTTTTTTTTTTTTTTTTTTTTTCCAGAATTACAACAAATACAACACATCACTCATACATACAGTAATATTAGCAATGCATTTGAATATATATTTATTTATAACAATAAACATTGTTGAAAATTCAGTTTTATATTTATATGAAAAGAGAACATAAATACGGAAGAAAAGATAATTTGAGTTAAATGTTTATGTACCACTGTGTGGCACATGATAAGGCTAAAGTATTTTATGAAAAAGGAAGAGGTTAAAATATCCTGTAAGATTTTCGGTACATAATAAGTGCTATTAGATACAATAATATATTATATTAGTTTTGACAATAATTATCTGTAAATAATAAATGACAAATTGAATTATAAAAATAATTCTTTAAATGCATTCCACATGGTATCAAAGTGCTCTTGTCTCTTATTTTTGACTGCCATTATTTTTTCTAAATTGTACATATATTTTAGCTTTTCTTTAATGGCACTGAGTGAAAGATCTTTTGAAAAACATCTACTGTTGTATATATATTGTTTCATGTATAGAAAAATCAAATTGTATGGGTCACCTTTTCGAACTTTTGATATATCTCCAAAAATAAAATTTAACTTATTCAATGGCAGGCTTACCCCACCAGATAAAAACCAATAATCAATATCTTGTACAAAATTTTGGATAATCTCACAATTCCACAGAATATGTTCAAACTTAAAAGTTACACATATGCTTCATGATAATGGACAAATATTTTTTTTTTATTGTTTTCGAATATTTATAAATACAGACATGAGAGTAGTCTAATACAGAATTACAGGACAACAAAATTACTGTCATGTACAATTTCTCATAAGCTCGAATATCATGCACTGAAAATTCGTAAATATCAAACGTTTATAACTAGAATAAATCCTTAACAGCAAGTGAAAGGACGCCAAAACAAACTAATTTTCATTGTTATGTTCTTTTATTTATGTGTTGTTAGTCCACTGGTCGAGATTGAAAATGGGCGTTATGTAAAATAACCTCATAATGTTTATGTGCCAAACCCGAGCTGGGTGACTTGTTGGTGATTGCCCTATTCATAACTTAATGTTTTGTAGGTTGGATTTGAGAAATTTAGTCAGTAGGCTTTTTTCTTTCAGACTCGGAACTATTTAGAACCATTTAGAATTTGACCTATTGTATAGACACATGTCTATTGTTGAAAAATGTTTGTCGACCTTTAAACTTCATTCTGATAATTTTGTGTCGTTCGGTTAAATTGCTATCTCATTGGCATATATCCCAAATCTCATTTTATTCATATGGCCATTACTAACCCATTGATAAGACCAATAAACATAAATATTGACAAGGACATTTCAAAAACCAATAAACATAAACAGCGACAAGGACATTCAAACGACTATAGGAATAATCAATAGAATTTGATTTGTTTACTTGAGCGGCAGTATTCACTTATTAGCTGTGGCAATCTTAGCTTTCGGTTGAAAGAAATACATGTTGACCCTGCTTTCAAATTATGTGCAGTCTTTTTTCTTGTTCATTTCATTGAAATTTAAATGTATTGCTTGAGATGCCATACGGCATATTTTGTTAATAGTGAACAAAAAAGTGATCAGTATAGTGGAGTTTCTGATTGACAACATATTTGTTGAATTTGGAGGTGGACTTTTTTAACAAATTGTCGGCATTCCTATGGGAAAGAACTGTGCGCCTCTCCTTGTCGACCTTTTCTTATTTTCATATGAGTCGGATTTCCTTCAGACACTTGTCAAATACGAGAAGATCAAAGAAGCCAGATCATTTAATTTCACATTCAGATATATTGATGATGTTCTTTCCATTAACAATCCAAACTCTTCTGATTGGGTTCCATTAATATGTCCTCCAGAACTAGAAATTAAAGAAACAACAGACACGACTTCTTCTGCTTCGTTTTTAAACTTATACCTCGAATGTGACCTGAGCGAACTTTTCTGTACCAGAATCTATAACAAACGAGACGATTTTAATTTTGAAATTATAAATTTTCCCCACCTTAGCAGCAATATACCAACTTCACATGCATATGGGATATGTATTTCCCAACTCATTCGGTATTCAAGAGCTTGAAGCTGCTACTCAGACTTTATAAAACGTCACCAGTGTCTGATCAGAAAGTTGATGAGCCAAGGTTATGTCAAAGAACGTTTCGTCCTTTTTCTAAAAAGGTTCATTGGAAGATACCAAGACCTTGTTGATAAATATTCCGTATCAACTGCACAATTAATACATGGTGGTCTTAAAGTATAGGTTCTAGGTACTGACGTTGTTTATCACCTTAATAACGTGTTATAGAATTCTTTTTATTTGTTCTTGTACATTTTAAATATTCACTGTTTAGTCCATTTTCGGTTATATACTTTTGGTGTGGCTCGGTACAAATGAACTTATACATCCCGCTATTGTGTTATTGTGCTATGGTCAATTTTTTACTCTTGTCTTTAATTATTGCTTATGTACTTTGTCAATAGAGTGTCTATATGCCATTTTATTTTTCTCTGTTGAAATAGTTACTTGTTTTATAGTGATTAAAATTATATTACGATGTTGACTACTGTACCCCAATTATGACATTTTTACCCATTATGTCTGTTTGCTTTGCTCACACAGTGTTGTCAATATAAAGGCATTCTATGCGAATGTCATACAAGTGGGGGATTTAGCTGGCCATAAAACCAGGTTTAATCCATCATTTTCTTCATTAGGAAATGCCTGTACCAAGTCAGGAATATTCTATTTATTTGATGTGTTTGAGCTTTTGATTTTGCCATTTTATAAAGGACTTTTTTGAATTTCACTTCTTTATTTTTTGTTATTTAATTTTTTACCCAATTATGTTTACTTTAGCCTTAATTTGAATTGGATGCAATTTCACAGGAAAATGAGAGTTCAGAGAAGTATTTGATCGTTCTGTAAGTTCAGAGAAGTATTGGAACATAGTACAATAAAAGAACAGAGTTCCAATGTCCCCCGTGTTGCACATATTTTATCTATCCAGGGGCAATAACTAAAAACAAAACATTTTTTTTGTTGTTCTTTAAAACAATTCATAAAAAAAAAGCGTGCGCGGGGGACAACATTTTTTTTTATTGTATACTAAATATTTCAAACAGACCTTCAAGGGCATTACTTATAGTATACTATAAGTTTTATAAAAAATTGTACCCGTGAGAGCGCTAACGAGGCCATTTTTCATAAATTTATTTTTTCCAAGGGTCATAACTCTTTTTAAAAAAGTTGATCGTCCACCATTATAGAACTTGTCCGAGATATTGCTCATATTAACCTATAGTATAAGTTTTAAAAAAATCTGGCAAGAATTGTACACGTGAGAGCGCTAACGAGGCCATTTTCCATAAATTTAATATTTCCAAGGGTCATTACTCTTTTTTAAAAAGTCGATCGTCCACCATTATAGAGTTTGTCCGAGATATTGCTGATATTAACCTATAGTATAAGTTTTATAAAAACCTGGCAAGAATTGTACCTGTGAGGGCGCTAAGAAGATCGGACGGACGGACATACGGACGGACGGACGCCCGGTATTTCCACGTCCACCGCAACGCGTTACGCGGGGGACAAAAATATCCATTTCTTCTTTTTCTATTTCAAAATTTTTGGAAAATAAACAAAAATGGTTGAAAAGCATACATAATGAATCTTGTTTATTTTTGTCGTTTTGTTGCTGTCTCAATGAATTATATCCATACCTCCTTTTAATCTCATAACGTATAAAATTGAGAATGGAAATGGGGAATGTGTCAAAGAGACAACAACCCGACCAAAGAGCAGAAAACAGCCCAAGGCCACCAATGGGTCTTCAACACATCGAGAAATTTTCCGCACCCGGAGGCGAGCTCTACAAGGCTATATGAGAAATCCATGCACGAAAAACAAATTTAGCAGACAGCAACCATCGACGACCACTGAATTACAGGCCCCGGACCCGTACATACAAAATGGGTTTATCATGTTTACGAGCACTCAACTCACCCCAATTTAGAATACCGATGTAATAGCACAACATAAGAACAAGTTATAAAAATCAGTTGGAAATACCCTAACTTTTGAACCCTGATAAGTTTCTAGGACATTTACATATTAAATATTGTCCAGGAAACAGACAAACTAAACATCATGGCTGTTATGACTACAGAAATTTACCCTTCCAGAAAGGTGTCATTTCAGGACTGTGGAACCAAACTAAAGATTGAAAACATTTCATACATAGTTGCTTACGAAGAATGACAATCAAGACAACAAAACGATAGGATAGGTCTTCCCGTTATGTTATTTTTTTGACAGGAAAACTTTCGTGGAAAATTTAATTTCAAAGTCTTAAATGGACTTTCAGGTCCGATTCCAAACGATTAATATTTGTTCACTTAACAGGTTGAATTTTTTATCGGCAAAAAAATGTATGAATGGTATGATTTATTAAGATTTCGTGAATAAGCAATTCAAGACCAAATAAAGTGTTTCCTT